TGGGCGGGACGGTCCGCCACATACTGCACAGCTCCTGAATCGAGAAAAAGGCGTGCTCGGGGCGCGTGGTAGCCGCCCACACCGCATGTGACCACGCCAGCGCAGGGGCAATCATGCTCCCCCACATGGGGTCGCCTAGGAGCGCCGTCTTGGCTCTCAAGGAAACCCCAGCATGCCTGGGCGCTTGGAACGACAACATCACGCTACGCGCTCGCTTAAGTTCAGCGTCGCTCACGCCCACAACCGTGTCCCCGAAGCTTAAGCCAGGTTTGACCCCAGCCGTGTAAATCTTGCCAATCCTGAAACGCTCCCTGGGAAGGGCGTTCTCATATTTACACAAAATCCTGTGTCTCTTAATCATGTCTTTTATCCTGCCTCGTCTCTTGCTCAGGTGGCCTTTCTTACTCCGTTCGCCCCCTGGGGCGAGATCACAACCTAAGGTCACCATGTGGGCCCCGACTTGACCCGCCAGTTTCTCGAGCTGCTCCCCGAGGCGACAAGCAACACTGGGCGACGAACCAACAGTCATCAACTTATCTTGGGCTAGATTGACTCCGGGCTCCTGCTTGAAGACGCGGTGCAAGTCCTGCGCCGCTGCGGCAAGAGTGTGGATGACCTCAGCCTCGGTGCCATACGCTGAGACCGTGTCGTCGTCCACATACGACGCCAGATCAATGCTGGGGTTCCGCTCCACGAAACCGTCGAAAGGCTCGAGCGCGTACACTCGCACGAAGATATCGTTAAAAATCGACCCTGCTGGCAGCCCGCTTTCAGCGTGCAACACCGCCAGCGCATGATCCGTACCTAAACGCAAGATCCGAGGGCCCCTCCAGAAGTTGAGCGTGACTTTAAGCACCACGGGATCAAGGTCCGCTCTCTGGCCCCTATCACGGAGGAGTCTCAGGCCGAAACTCTCGTAGTACTTCGACCCATCCCAAGAGAATCCCGCAGCGACCCCACCGTCGGCCACTCGGGCCTCCGCTTTGACCGCCTGGTTCCACGCGCTGCCTTCCGCCGACTTCCCAGCTCCGAAGGCCCAGTACCTACGCGGGTGTCGGTCGTTGAAGGACGTCAGCTTCGGTCGTCGGAGCCGTTCCCAAAGCCTAACTGGGGAGGAACACAACAAAATCGGGCGCAACCCACCCTTCGGCTTTTCCAGGAGAGGGAAGAGCATCCAGTACAACGCCCGGGGGAAGAGACCTATCTTCTCAACGCACTGAAAAATGCAAGCCAGGGTGTCAAGGCAAGTGTCCGACATGCAAGCGAACTGTCGCACGTGCACCCCATCAAGGGACTGAGCCGTGTGCGGCGAGAACATCTTGGCTGCGGCTCGCAGCTCCGCCGCGGTGGCTCTCTCAAAACAGTGCCTATCTGGGACTTCAGCTGGGGGTGGGGTGGTGGTGGCATTCCAATACCCCCCTAAAACATTGGCTTCATGGGCCAGTAAATCTCGCGGGTCCGACGTGAAGGCCCCAGGACTGGTTTCTATCACCGTCGGTTGCCACCGAGCCTTCAACCTCGTAAGCCGATGCATCTTTCGGGCCGACCCCGCCAGGGCCTCGGTCTGCCACTGGTCCCAACTCTGCTTCGCTTTTTGATCCAGCCCATCACGGGCCGCTTGAAAATCCTCGGCCCAGTCTTCTAACGTCTCCGAGCAATGATCAGTCCATCCAGCAAGGGCCACCAAGTCTTGCGGCCAAGCCGCCGTCAACTCACGCGCCTTGCGGACAGTGAGATCCAATCTCGGAGACAAGCCCTCAGCTTCAAACGGCCGAGAAACAATCTGCACAAGGTTAAGGGCAGCCTGCGCTTCACTGTGATCAATGAACTTGTCAGCTTGCGTGAGAATGCGCTGACTGGTGTTCCTGAGGTCGGTCATCCCCTGTTGCAGCCGCACCCATCCCTCCCCAATGCGCACATCATCATCATCTTTGCACTTCGGGGGGGTCATAACAGGCACCCACTTAGCCTGAAGCTGCTTACCTTTAAGCCCTTTACGTTTTATGGGGGTGCCCGTTCTACTTTCTAACTCTAACTCCATCGCATCCGAGGGAACTTTCCAAGCTCGGTCCAGGACCCCCCAAACAAGCCCAACCTCTTCATGGTCGGCCCTACGGTTCGCCTCCTCGGCCACGGCTCGGGCCACAGACCAGTCGATCGGGGGGGGGTGGGGCCGAAGGGCAGTTCAACTGGGAGTTTCTGGTGAGTCTGGTATACCAGCTGCCGCAGCTTGGTTGCCCCAGGCCTTAATCGAAGCTGTACAGGGCGGTGGGGCCGCTTCGGCCACGTGCTGTCAACCTCGGCGGTCTGCACAAGCTTGCAGAAGGCCGCCGACGCCATGAAATAATCGATCTTGGTGTTTGCTTTCGGCGTAGCACACGTTTCGATACTGGGCTGCGTTATCATCATGGAGGCCTTGCGAGGCATGCCAGACGCCTCTGCTACAACGGCCGAGAAATTCCAATCAGCAGCAAACACCGAGAGATGTACACCTTCTAAGACTGCACCTGCGTGTCTTAAAATCTGGAGGTTCCGCTTGCTCAGCCCCTCACTGGTGAACATGTACGCGCATCCCGCTAGTAGCTCGGGCCACCCTGGAATGTCGATCGTAGCAAAGATCAGCCTGTGTTGGATAAGTATGCCTCTGGGCAACTTAGTGGGCCACCTCAGGCCGATAGACGTTCTTGCCAGTATAGCTACTCCAGCTGACGTCTGACCACCTGCACACTTGACCGAAGGGGCACAGAGCATGTTCCAGCCTAAACTCTTAGCAGTCGAAGTTCTCGCCGCCAGATCCTCTTCGGTAATACCTATTTCCTGTGCAAACACCACCAGAGCCTGTGTACTCCTCAGTCTCTTCTTGAGCGTGCCCCAGCTGTTACCATTATACGATTCAAACACGAGCGCCTGACCCTCCAGGTCGGCAGGGGCGGCGGCTTTAGGCGGTAAGCCAACTCCGTGGGCCGAGACACGCAAACCAGTGCACTTGGGCCCCAGGTGGGGCCGCACACGGGCACCGTCAAACAAAACTGGTGGCTGCGGGGACTCATGGGGCCTCAGACGCTCGGGCTCGCCGTTGTGCCTGACGACTCGCGTCTCGTCGGCCTCGCTGAACTTGATGCCCTGACCGTACTGCAGCACGTCCAAAAGATACCACACCGCCTTCAGGTCCACGAACGTCTGAAGTCTGAGCCACCTCTCGTCACACGTAACCTCGAAGAAATGCACAGCGTCATCAGGTAAGGCTAAAGACGACTGGCACGTTCTGCAGCAGATCCCAAAAGGAGTCGTCCCCCTTCTCGGCCGATTCGGCACGACGCCGATTTCCATCAAGGGGGAGAACACGAGCATCGGCTTGCTCCCGGAGACGTGGGGGGCCCGTGCCGAGCAGCGCGGTCCATTGCGTCGCGACGCGTTCCCGTGGCGACAGGGCCGTGTCGAGCACCGCGCAGAGGGCTCGTGGCCGAAGCTCCTTCCACAGAGGGAGCCTGCTGGGTTTCAGCTTCCGTCGCTCCCTGCGCCAGCCGGCGAGGGAGTTGGCGCAGTCCTGAACGGCCAGCTCGAGCTTCTCCAGGAAAGGGGGGACCAACTGCTGGTCGCGCTGTGACCAGCGCGGGCCCGCAGCAGCAGACGAAAGCAGCCGGGCAGTGCGGGCTCGTGACTCGAGCGTGCCGAGCGTCGGCGCAGGCCCTTCCAGCGGGCTGAGCCCTAAGACCTGCCAGCAGCCAGACGAGGTCGGGTCGTAGCCGAGCCCCCGCAATACCGCCATAAGGTCGTGGAAGGTCGCTGGCGTGGATGCGGCCGAAAGTGGCGGGCTCCACCCTGTCGCCTGAGCGGCGCGGGCGATCTCAAAATAAGGCAAAACCTCCGGCCCCAAGAGATCACTGAGGAGCGCATGCGGCAACGGCTGAGGCACCGAGAGCGGCTGGGGCACTACAGCGACTCCTGGAACTGCAGCGGGCTCGGCGGCAGCTGCGGCGGTCGTGACAGGCGAGAAAACTGCCTGGAGCCCCGGGGCCGTGGCAGGCGCAGCCGCGGGAGGCAGCCCAAGGGCAGGCTGCCCGTTCGGCGGGTCGGCCACCAGAAGGCTGGCAGTAGCCTGCCTCAGCCCAGACTCGCGCTCCTCCATGCTCGTGTCAGGACCTGCGGCGGGCGGGGCGGCACGAGCAGCTGCGCCCGGGGTCCTTCCGAGAGGCTAATGCGCCGCCGTGGCGGCCGAAATCGGTCGGGCCCGGAATCGCTCGAATCGGTCGAAAGCACGCTCGGGCCCGGGCTCGGATCGGGCGCTCGGCGATGGCGCCTCGAGCCAGAGTGCCTTGAGCCAAAATGGCGCTGGACCCTCCGACCTTGCAGCTGCTTCAAGAGGTCCCTGGCGAAGCGCCGGGCCTGGCCTGCGGACACGTCCAGTGGCACGGCAGATAAACTTCATCTGCAGGGAAGAGGGATGGGAAAGGGGCAGGGGTAATGAGGAATCCCACCAGCCCTCTGGGCTTAGGTGGTATAACGCGTTTTTTCTTCTCTCTCTTCCACTGAAACCCCTCCCCCTACCCCATACCACCTACCCCTACCCCCTACCCCCTACCCCCACCCCCTACCCTGGGCATGAGGAATTGAACTTGTTCAATTCCTCCCCGTCCTTGCTATTTTTGTTACACATAGCAAGGGCGTCAGCTGCCCCGGTACGCAACACGCAACCCGTGGCGTGCTGGCACGGAGCTCAACACGCAGACTGAAAACGTAGGTCTGGCGCGACACGTTCCCAGACGTGGGCCACCACGTTGAGACAGATGCTGATGCGACGCGCGGCTTCGCAAGGTTGCGTGCTCGAACAGTGTGGCTAGCCGGTGGGTGGCGCATAGGACCTCACGAGGATCCACCACTTACGCCACGACCGGTTAGGCCCCCACCAACTTAAGCCACCACCGGTTAACCCCCTGTTGAGACAGAGGGGGGAGGGAGGGCGGAACGGGAGGGCTGCGGAGGGCGGGCGGGCGTGGCGC